TGAATAAACTTTTCGAGAATCTACTGGGTGCATTTTGCTAGGCTCTGGGGTTACTATGGTGAATGAGAGAGACACGGTCCCTGTCTGTTTGGAATTTGTATTCAGGTGGATGAGATCGGGAGTAACAGATGGATAATTGGAATGGACACACTGTTCGTACCAGGCAATCCCAGCTCTGGGGGAACCAAATTAAGCAAGAATACAAATAAATAAACAAAACATTGCAGCTTGAGACACATGCTATGGAAGAAATAAAAAGTAAGCAGAGAGGTAAGCAAGGGCCAGACTGTATGTGTACGGATATGTACACATTTAATTGTGCTATCTCATCTATTAAATTTTAAGTGCTCTTAAAGTAGCATCCATGACTGTCATTTCCTATGTATCTCTATGTGACACCTTGAAATGGTGCTGGGCACTTGTCAGGCTTCGAACAAATGTAGCTGTGACCAGCTGACAGGGCCTCCTTGGGTGTTCACTCACCCATTTCCAAATTTCCTTGTTGGTCACAGTCACAATACACTTCTTGGTTGTAACCCTTTTATTGCCTTTCTTTGTCCTCTTTATTTCTTCTTGTTTTGTTGGTGTGTGGCTGATAAGGGTCAGAAAGGAAAATGTCAAGGGCAATAGGGTTTAATGAATCAGAGAACGGCTATTTACATAAAAATGCCAACTCCACAATTGTGGCATTGTGACGGAAAATGGCTTGGTTTCATCAATGGTCAGCCTAGAAGGGAAGAAAACTAGTGTGACCACCCAATGCCATATTCAAGAAGAAGCAGGGGAGCTGTGTTTAGGTTATCAGTTTTAATGTAGCCTGTGTTTTAGTTTCCAAGGGTATTTTTTCAATAATTTGGACCTCCGGGTACTAACAAAACTCTAATCTGCAAAGTTTAATTCACATCCAAGGAGCCCATGAGCAAATAAAGTTGGAAGAGAACAGATCGAAACTCAATCAGCTTGCCTGAAACCTTCCACATGGAGTTTTCCAGACTCCAGGACAGTCATGGCTTCCTTGAGGGGCTTCATGTGATTCTGAGGGTATGGGGTACTGAGGGGCAGGACATATTTTTTACTTCTTCTTAAAGGTTTTTATTCTTATGAAAGGATTCTAAGAACAAGGATAGAAAGATAATGAATGGCTACCTGATCTTTTTTAAGGATGTTTTCTACTTCCTGGTCAAAAACGGTACTCATCTGGGAAAACTTCCCAATTTATGCAACTAATACAATCTTGAGAGTATCCTGTATTGTGGTGGTGTTGGGCCTGGGATTTGATTTTGCCCTATTTTAAAGCTAAGAAGTTAGCTTATTACTGTTCCATGGATGTTAGTAGGAGGCATGAAGCTCCCAGTGTCAAAGGACATTGTTTCTCACGGCACACTAAGCAGAATGTGCACCAGCATGTTTACATCGGTTCCCCCGGCCCCAAGTCCAACAGGAGGATGCAGAGCCCAGATGTCACATGCACATGCAGTTAGTTGTGTTACATGGGAGAAACTCGGAGCTTGAGAACTTGTTGCTTCTATAGCAAGCAGTAAGCAAGCCTGATCTTTGTCACTCAATGTTACTTGCTGCAAACAAAACTCCGAGAAATGGCCCAGCCAAAGAGTGATCAGAGCCTTGCCTTCTTGCGCAGCCAGCAAGATGTGCAGGAGAAGAGAGAGGACCATAAAGGGCTGTCTCCCAACAGGCTCGATGGATCAGATTGAATCCTATGAAACTGCTGTTTTCGTAGATCAAAAAAGTACAAATCTTGGTGATTTTATATGGTTCAATTTAAAATTATCTCAGTGCTAATGGAAGTATTTCCATAATGCCGGCTCTTTTATTTTTAGGAAGTTTGACTAGACTGCCTTTTCTGTTACCATCTCTTTCCTTCCACCAAACTCTGTCAGTGCTTTTCTTCTTAACTATTCCTATAACGTATCTAGATCCTCTTGACTGTTGGGTAAATTTAGAGCTTAAAATGATGCAAAATGATAAATTCAGATGGTATCCAAGCCTCTAGCTTTAATTTTTTAACAGCAGTGTCAAAAAATGAGTTATATTTTTGTTTCCACTATGTATGACCGAGCTCCTATATCCCTTCCTTTTCTTATGTAGTTTACCAATCTCCTATATTACTAAAAATACATTCTTCATATCACTTCAGTATTATTCTTATCTTATGTATATAATTTGAATCTGGCATAAATTTATTATGGCACTAAGAGAAGCCCACTACCCAAGTATATAAAATTGTAATACAAAATATCAAGGAGTTTAAAAAAACTACAATTAATAATTATTAATTTCTGTTATGATGAGCAGTGATCAAAATACTTTCTGTGTATTACTCTGTGTGACACTCATAAGAATCCCGATTTAGGTACTTTTATTCATTTGACGAAGGTGCTGAGACAAAGGGAGATTATGAAACATGCTAACGGGTAAATTCATAACTAATGGACGTGGAGTGTGTTGTCTAGGGGGTGGGCGCACTTGTAGCTCTGGCTTGGGCGATGCAAAGGCAATATATGTAACCAAAACATTTGTACCCCCATAATATTTTGACATTTAAAAAAAGAAAAAAAATTAATTAATTTTTAAAAAAAGAAAAGAAACATGCCCGTGGTCACATTCTTCTTAAGAATTGTTGATTGATTAAATACTTTATTGGGATAGGAATTTTCCGGTTCTAGGATGTCAGAAGTACTCTCTAGTGGACACTGTCAGGGCTTTGCCAAAACCCCTTCAGGCCCCTTCTCCTGAATCCTTCTCTAGCTTTGATGTGGTTTTTGCCTCGAACAGCTTACACCTGTGTGACTTTTTCCAGTGACTGCCCTTGGGCCACTGCATGAACTTTGTCTGCAGCCACAGAGGGCTAGAAGTGTGTTACACCCACTCCCAGAAACCCCCAGCCCCTGCCTGGATGATAGCTGATGGACTAGGAAAGCCCAGTTCCCTGGCAGTGGGAACTGTAACTTATGTTCCAGAGATACTGTGGAACAAGGCTCAAGTCACCCTCCAAAGAACTTTCCTAGAGGTGTCACCCTTGCTTGGCCTCCTTCCTTCCTTTGTCCTGCCCCTCACTCCCTTACCAGTTTCTCCTGGGAGCACCTCCTTAATAAATCGCTTGAATAAGAATCCTCACATTTGGACCTGCCTTTGGGGAACCCGGTGTAAGATAACCCCCTTTGGAATTATTACCAAAGCATCATAAATTTTTAATTTCCTAAAATGACCTTTAATACAAGTGTTACTATTATTCAATATTCAGAATATGCCTGGGGAATACAAATGTTGTATAGACAGAAATATTTCTATTTTGAAGATATTATCATTCTAGAACATGATGAGAAATCTTATTCCAGATAAGGTTTTACTTTGGGAAAACATGCATTTCCAGTTGAACTTCTTATTGAAGACACAGTAAAAAAGATTAGCCTTTATGGACTTGTAAATTTTGAAGTATTGGGTGTTACGATAAGACTTTACGAGAAAATAACAGCCACTTATTACAGTTTTCCACTCTACTATAATCAAGACTGCATAGTCTTTTCTTAGTTACTCTGAAAAAGGAATTTTATTTCTTTCTGAGGATTTACCTATTTAAAATAATAAAAATGGTGGATGTATTAACTCCTATCCAGCTGGCATGTTCCTCT